AGCAGGACAAGCTCAAGGGCGAGTAAGCGAACGAAAACTGAAGGAAGAGGTTTAATGGGGGATTGCAATATGGATAGTATGGTATGGCAATTGTATGGCCACTAATCGTTTGGGAGGCAAGAATTTATAAAAGCCACTGGATCTGGGGAGCAGTCGAGCTTCTCATGTTAACCACTTGTATCATACCTCCTAGACGAAGGACATTCTTGCCCTACATTGGCATGGGCTTGGGAACGACATAGCATGATTTCTTTTTACTGTTTAAGTGTACAGAGCACCTGACGGGTCGTTTCATTTTCTTCATCTGGCATTGCGTAGACGATACATCTATCTAACCTACTGATATTCACATGTGGTTCAAAGCGGAAGTGAGGGAGTTTATTTTCGGTTGTATGTGTTATTTCAACAAGATGCAATGCTACCTTGGCGCATCAATCTCAACCTGCCACGGCCGTACGATCCCGTCATCGCCCGTTGTAACTAGCATCTCCTCTTCCCCGCGCCGCTCCGAGCCGGCATCGTATCTCCGGCACCAAGTAATATGATTAACCTCGAAGGGTCCATGAGCTCCGGGTCGCGAAGATAGGAGTCTCCAATTCGTCTGCTGTTGCTTGCTCTCCTCAGTGTTACCCATGGTTTGGTCTTGGGTGTCGGGTGTCGTGACATGTTGCTCCGAGTCCTCGGCGTAAAGCGCAACGATCCCATCGCTGCCAGTACTCCCAACGAGCCCTGTCTGTGCACTCCATGTCACAGAATAGATATCGCGGGTGTGCACCTTGGGTAAGACAGATGTGCATGTCCACTCCTCTCGTAGAGATCTCCGCATAGTATTGGGGATTCCACCAAGAGCACCGGCACCACCTCCCGTACTATTCTCCTCCGCCTCATCGTCTTGCTCCAATGTCCACACCCTGATAGTGTTATCGGCAGAAAATGTCAAGAGTCGCGGGAAGCGATCTCCCTCCCGGGGTCGTGGCTCCCATTGAAGCCCCCAGACAGTGCCCTCGTGACCCTCAAGAACAGCAACACAAACCCATTCTGCATCGCCATCTTCTCGCCAGATGCGCACTGTATTGTCATAACTTGCACTGGCTAGCACGTCGGCCGAGTAGCTGCGTCGAGCGTTGCGGCCAGGGACGTCGGGACACCAAGCAACAGCCTTGACATCGCCCTCGTGTTCGTTAAGCACAGCGATAGTCTCCCACTCGTCATCTTCCTCAGATCCGCCGATATCCTCCCATATCCAGACTGACTTGTCGCGCGAGCAGGTAGCGAGATAAGAACCCGAGGGGCTGAAAGCGCAAGACTTGATCTCCGAGTCGTGACCCTCGAGCACAAGCGTAAACTCCCACTCTTTGCTGGTAGAATCGCCATCATCGTCGCTATCATCATTGTTTCTCCTCCGCACGCTCTGTGCCGTGACCTCAACCTCCAATCCTCCATCGTTCTGTTCTTGGCCCTCCCAGCGCCATATTCCAGCCGTAGAGTCAAAACTGCCAGTGACGAGACATAGGTTGCCGGGGCGCAGATGGGGCTTCCATGCGACGGAGCGGACGGAGCGGGTGTGGCCTCCGGTAAGGACGCTGTGGGCCGAAGCAGTCGAGAGAGAAAACACAGTGACGGCCTTTCCGTGAGCGGTTGCGATCAGAGGAAGAGTTGGGTGAGGAACCGAGGCCCAGGCGCGTTCGTGAAGGTCAGGTTTGAGGGGCGTGAGGGCAGTGATGGAGGCCGAAGTCGGCGCCATGATGAACGGGGCCGCGAGAGCGAGAGGGCAATTGACGACGAACTAAGGGGACTGTAATGTTTGAGAGTGTTGCCAGCTAGATTAGGCTGTTTAGGTAACAACCAAGAAAGAGTCGAGGTGGTGAAGTTCAACTGTTCATTTGAACATTTCCCCTCCTTTGATCAAAAAGTTCATAATGTGATGGGTGATGGATGGGGGTTGAGTGATAAGATAAGTACCGCCTACCTTACCTACCTATAACGTTAGTAGGTACCTGGGTACTGGCGAGAACCCCTCCATTGGACCAGTGACGTACTGAGCATGGATTTAGGTAAGGTACCTAAACAAGGTAAATACAGAGACTCACATACCTACATACAAACCAATTTACCCTACGATAAACAGGCCGCATAAAAGAAGCAAACAATTACCGCACCAATTTTTACAAAATGAGCAGATAGAACAGATAGGTATGTACATAGATCTGCTGTATTTACAGCATCTAAGCCACCTTTGACTTGACCCACAACCAAGCCTCCTTCACATCACCTCCAGGCCTCAAGTTCTGCTCCCTTGCCCTTTCGAGACCTCCCTTTCTGAACCCTCCTGGAAGGAGAAGCCATATCAGAGTGATAGCACCAAGGAGCCCGACTATTATAGGCTGTAGAACTTGAACTCCGGTCTTTTGCGCAATTGCACCGACTGCGAATGGTCCCACAGCTGCACCACCTCCTCCGACCGCAGCCGCGAACCCGATGGCACTGACGTGATAATCAGCTGGAAGTAACTTGGTGGCAGCAACCATGGCAGCAGGGAACAGAGGCCCCAGGAAGAACCCAAGAAGCATGACGAAGATGACAGAGGCGACAAAGTTGGGGACAAGCCAGTACAGTAGTTCCAACCCCATGGAGAGCACAAGATAGACCGTGATGGCCGTCTTCTCACCAGTCCTCTCTGTGACGAAGCCCAAAACAACCCGACCCAATGTCAGCCCGAGCCAGAACAGGGTCACTGTCAAGCCAGCAAGAAAAGGTTTGGCATGTCGTACTCGAAGCATGAAAGTGACAATCCAACCCCCCAAGCTGACCTCAGTCGCAACATATCCCAGGAGGAAGACGGCAACTATCCAGGTGATGGGCTTCTTGAGTGCCATGCGTGTTGTTGCACGCTCTTTAGCTTCGTCGTAGCGAACTCGCTGTCGATACACTTGGCCGGTTGCACCCCAGAACGCGGATGTTCCGACAACAAGTTCAACCACAGCAAGTCCTATCATGATATAGTAGAAGGTGTACCAGTTCAGTTTTCCCTCAGTTACCATGGCAGACGCGATCAGAGGGCCAATGGTACCGCCGAGGCCATAGGCACCGTGGAGGAAACCCAAGAGCTCGTTGGCTCTGTGCATGTTGCCAATCCAGGCATTGTAGCCACTATCTTGGATACCGTTACCGAAACCAGTAAACAGCATCACACAGGGTAGCGCTGGAAATGGAGGGTGAAGTGCCACAGGAATGTAGGCGATGAGGCGACAGAGAGGCCCAAGAACTGCAACGCCTCGTTGGCCTAGGGTGTAGTGTATCCAGTTATTGGTGAGTGCAGCGACTACATAACCAGCTACGGGTACGAGAAAGAGAGTAGAGACGGTGGTGTAGTTGATGCCATAGTATGTCTCGATCTATCCACATTAGAAACGAGTAGTAGATGATTCAGTAGAACATACGCACGTATGGCAGCAGAGCCTATAGGTAGATAGGTAGTTAGTTAGTTAGTAGACCGAGTCAGTCAATCAACGAAGCTCCAGGCTTGACAGAGGCAGTAACTTGACTTACCCCTAGAGATGCGTCATTCATGCCCATGATGAGAAATGAGAAATTAGTGGCATAGTAACGATACAAGTTTACTCGAGGGCTGTTCCAATGCTCAAGCTCATTGATCGATTCTCCGCTGTCGTTGGTTCTCGTTTCGGGCTGCTGCACGGCCTCCACAGAGCCCAACTTCTCTTCTAAGTCGTCGTCATGATTTCGTTGTTGACTTTGCTCTATCTGGCAAGATTTCGAGTTCGGGTTCATTGAAGGATCGATAATAAGCCTGAATGTTTTTCTTTATTGATTTTGTAGTATAGATACGTTTGTCGGAAGAGATATGAAGTCTCTTCGCACAAGACCGCATATACATGGCGCGACTATATAAGGTCGGGTAAATTTCTCGCTAGAATGAACAATGGAGCCGTCCGGGTACAGTACCTAGTCTACAGCACGAGAGATCCATACCTAGAGAGCATCCAATATCAAAGGTTGGCTAATAATAAGGTGCTGGAAAACCGGGCGGGATAACGGGACGGTAGCCGAAACATGCTGCGCCTAGGACCCTATTATGTTCGAGTCTAATTTGAAGTCTTAAAAACATCATTGGATCTGGTGATTGATTTCCAAGTCGACCACACAGTAACATCAGTGGAACCATTTCTGTCTATTATCTGTGGGTGATAGTCGGGCATTGTGTAGAGACACCAGAGCTCATACATCACAAGCAAGACTCTCAATTCCAGAGTGTGGGTATCTTATGTTAGATAATTGCGATGAGATCACTGTGCCCGGACTCTGTGACTTTCATGGCTAATGACAACGGTGAGGTCAACTTCGACTCGGCCTCCCCTGGAGCAGTTGGATTTTATTGGATATGGTTTGGGGTCGCCATATGGAACAGCTGAAGAGAAAAGAGAACCTCGGAGAATTCTTCATCATACCTACCTAGCAGGTACCCCCAATGCACGTGTTGAATGAGGCTGTGTAACATAAGGTACCTGCCTACTCTGTAAGGTCCTAGGTACTAGGTAAGGTAGTGATGAGATGAAATGCTACCCCACATACGGGGTCTTTTACAAACGTCATTGTATCCCCTTCGATAACACACACCACTTACGGAGTACATCTCCCCCAACGTTACCTAAACACTTCCATGGGTATTTACCTAAGTAAAGTAGGTATCTAGACCAAACTGCTGCTGCGCCTCTCACCACTTCAGCTCTTACAACTCAGCTACCTACCTACCTAGACCTAGGCTAGGTAGTCTTCCACGCAGCTACAGGGCGTGTATTTGTACTCATAAGGCTGACATCCACCCGTTGAGTTAGGGTGTCTCTTCACTTTTGTCCACCTCATCATCAGCCACATAATATAAGTTTCCAACTTCCCCTCCTCTCGCCTACCTGCCTTACACCAGAACCAACCGTCTCATCCTGCGTTGCTTTACACGTACTTGTATATTCCCCCATACCACGATGTCAAAAGACTACTACGAGTACGAAGAGTACTCTCGTCGCCGACGCGACTTTTCTCCCGACAACTATTCCGGTGGTGCCCCGGGGTCTCAGCAACAAGGCGCTCCTCCTTATGCCTCAACCTCCCGTCTTGATGATCCTTACTACGGCGGCATGCCTCCTCCTCCGCGGGAGCGCATGACCCTCGAGCCCCCCGAGTCACAGAACCGCCCACGATCTGTCCCACCAAACACCACCATGGTCCGACGCAGCCGTTCTCGTTCCCGTCCTCCCTCGGATGACGAAGACTATGATGACAGACGGAGCTCGCGAAACCGCTCACAAAGTCCCATCTCCCGCGCTCGGAACGTTGTTGATGAGAACTTCTCTCATTCCGCCGGCGGCATCGGCGCCGGCATTTTAGGTGCTGTCGTTGGTGGTCTTGTCGCTCGCGAGGCGACTGAAGCTGCAACACGCCGCAAGCACAAGACCCGAGGTTACGAAGACGAGAATGAGGACCGAACTCGTCTCGTTTCCACCATTCTAGGCGCTGTCGCTGGTGGCCTAGGAGCCAATGCTCTCGCCAATAGGGTTGAGGATTCGAGGGAGCGAGACCGACGACGCCAACTCGACTGGGAGCGTGAGCGTAGCTACGTGCGCGAGCAGGAGATGCCCCGCTACGAGCAACGGAGATCCAGTGACCGTGATAGAGAGGACGACCGCCGCGATCGTGATCGTGACCGCGACCGGTATGATCGCGGCAGGGCACTACCCCAAAACGATGATGATGATTATGACTTCGTCTACGACGATCCGCGATACGAAGATCGAGAACCTAGGCGACGTAGAAGCGAGGACAACTACCGCTATCGCCAATAGCCGGCCTTTCTTTTTACCCCTCGACAACCTATTACTGCTTCACTATGACATCTAACGACAGTATTTCTTTTGATAATGTTCTTCTTGCTTTCTTCTTCTCTTGGTTTGTTTTGAGTGATGTTTAAAAATCGCGAGCGGTATTAGAAGTGTTTTTCCATTACCATAAGCAGAAACATCAGTCTGGATGTTAACTTCTGGAGATCTCACGAGTTATGACTTGGCGCCTCTTGGATATACATTCGATACTGTTCGGCTTCTAAAGTGCTTACGGTGTCATGCATTAGTCCCGTGTACCTATGAGAGTCCTTTTTGACGAATGCTGGGGTTACTTCTTGTATCGATTTTACAATGTATTCGCACACCATGATAACGATTACCGCAGGAATCACCTGCCCTGTTTGCAACTCTCCAGCTCCACGATGACGTGCTGTCCAACCAATTCAACTCAATCGAAAGCAACTAAGACCAAAACCATGACTCGTCACAAGTAACGAGCCCATTAAATCATGTCCCCTCCTGAACCGCTGTCCACCGTCGCTCGCCCCGGTTGCTGGAGTTCCTGCCAGTGCCTCCAGTGTGTTCTCGAGCATCCTGCTCTCGCTCCACGATCGCCTTGAAGAACTGAGCTATGTCAGCAAGCGCGCGCTGCTGATAGTCTGGGACATCAAGCATTTTAAAGGTTGATTGGGTGTCGACCAACTGCTTCGCAATCACAGAATCTGGCTGGCAAAGTGTCCGGACGCACATTGCTCTGGCATTGACCTTCATGGCGTGCAGGAGCCCGCCAATCTCAACAGGGTCGGCTTGTCGGCGGCCATAGAAGCGAAAATCGTCGACGTGGAGGTTGATAAGCTCAAGCTGTGTCTCCAGGTCGTAGCGGAAACCAACAACTTTGGGTCGGCCCTTGTTATGCCACGCATCTGCTACTTTCTTGAGCTTGTCAGGCACAAGCCGACCCTTGTCCAGTTGCACCGTAATATAGTCATTCAATGCAGTGCTAAGGTTGAACTCCAGTTCGCAGTAGAGAAGGCTTTGCTCTCTGGCATTCAGTGAAATGGCGACCTGTGATGTCGGGCGAGGCCGGATTGCGGATTGCACCCGACGAGAGGTATAATGAAGCTCCGTCTGCGGTTGAGTTAGTACAAACATCTGACGCTGCATTTCACCAACATACCATGTCTTTCGCGAGTTTCTTGATGTTGTCCAAAATTCTGGTCTTCTTCTGGGGCGTCTTTGAGCTTCGATCAGGGCCGCCGTCAGGACGTTCGAGCCACCCGTTGTCCCCAATCATTATTTTTTCGCCCTTCTTGGAGCTTGGGTAGTCTGTTCCTCTGAAATAGAACTGCAGTGGTGAGAATACGGGAGTGTCCTGAACAGTCCGACGATAGTTGCTGTTATTAGAGCCCACTGTTACGACTTGTGGGATCGGTGGAGAGTGCATTGCGACAGCTCGGGCCTGTCTCAATCCATCGGCAGAGCTCTTCGAGCGTCGAGGCCTATTGATCAGATCCTCTGGATGGCTTGCCGACTCCCTGATCATGGAGGAATCTTGGCTCCTTTTCCACTCTTGGAATGAACCCTCGCCAGCATCATTGAATTTGGATTGTGACCTGGCGTGGCTGAGGCGAAGAGGTGATGGGCGTGCAGTTTGTTGAGGGGAGTAGACTGAAGAGGCATCATCGTGGAAGATCGGCCCACGCTCAAAGCTGCCCTGCCCCAAAGGAGAGACTGCATCGGAAATATCTTCCATCTCGGCTGGCCGAGGAACTGCCCCACTACGACGTATATTCCCAAGCTGCAACGGAGAAGGCGGGTTGATATGTCGACGTGCTGCTAAACTGGCAGAGAACAAGTCTTTGGAAGAGCCCGAATGGCGACCCGGCATAAGCTCCGAAAAGGTTGGAGAATTCACATCAGAGGGACCATCTTCTCTAGCAGTCCAATCGTATGAGTCCTCATGTTGTAGAAGTCTTGGTTTATTCTTTCGTGGTGTTGACCTTGGAGTCGTTCTTGGAGTAGTCATTGTAGACTTTTTCTTGAACTTAGCAGTCTTCTTTGGGCTCTTATCGACTTGATGGCTGAAGCTTCAGAATGATTAGTTGGAGAAAGAGATTAATAGAAACATATGACATACGCGTCCGTAATCTTGTCAACTTGGCTCTCAGTCAAGTTCATGCGAATATGAAGAGGTTGTTTGACAAGACGCTTGCGCGGAGATAGCGAACGCGCTCGCGACTCAAATCCTGGTGAGATATCCAGGAAGTCTCCTCTCAAAGGCTTCAATACAGATGCTGAAGGGTCAGAGTAGCGCCCTCTGTTCGAACTGTCTTGCTGCATCGAGCCCAGAATCTCGAGTCCCAGTAGCTACTTGACAGTAGCTCCGAATGATACAGATTGATAGTGATATCACGGTCGAGGTTCAGGCAAGGTATTTGAACAGAAGCCAGGAAACAAAACCAGGAAATGAGCAGGATGAACAAATGAATGAATGAATCAGAGACTTCGGTTGGACCAGCCGAAAACTTGGGTGCAAATTGTGGTCAGCTGGCAACAAGTGTCAATGGCATTGCAACACTCGCGAGCCTCTGACGCGATTTTAGGAGCCCGGTACCGCTTCATTTGAGTCTTACATATGCCACCTTGCTGTCAAATTGATCTGTGAGTCCCCAGCAAGGCTTGTTGGAGACGCTCACCTCATCTGCTTGTCACAATTTAATATACCCTGCAACGCCGCCAGGAGCATCAGTTGTAACTAATGAGAGCGGTGTTTCCATCTGTAATCAATGCCACTGTCGAACCAAAGCTGAGGCGTGAAAGGGCCGTGGAACCTCCTAGAGTTTGATACCCCTTTTGTTGACGAGGCAGTTACCATATCCATTGCTTTGTCTTCGGCGACTGGCAGTTCTCTTATGAAAGGCGGAAGCGACCTGTCGCTGGTGAACAACCCAAACTTCCTCGCAAAGTTGGCGTTCGGTATTTCACAGTCCCTGACATAAGCATCGAACTGCTGTTTGAATGCGTCGTGGGCCAGAATGGTGGAATGATCATCTTGGATCAGTGCAGGCTTTTGATTCTCGTTTTTTCCGTTTCCCTTGTCTGTCACGCGGAATATATGTATAATTTGATTCATCTTCTCCGAACTGATGATTTTGGAGCTTAGTGATCGACGGTGATGAGTTCGCTCAGTCTGTGCCTGATGCTTTTCCGTGGCTCTACTTTTGGGTGGTTCTCCGAGGTCAATTGACTTTCCACCGACCAGTCTGCCCTTATGAATCATATTCTCATTCCACTGCATCTCGTGAAACTCTCTGGCCTTGAGCTGACGAAACGCACGGGTACCACTGTCACGAGAAGAAACATACATCGTATGTTCTATCATCCAGTTCTTTCGTATACCGATACCGCTTGGGTAAAGCGATGACCTTGCTATTATAGGTGAGTAGTCTGAAAGTCGAGTACGATATCTTTGAGGGTGGCTTTTTCTCCACTCTGTCAGGGCAGTTGTCGGTATAATATTGGACGTAACAGTTGTGAGGTGCGGAACATGAGGGAGTTCAAGATCAGTCTGCGCCTTTTGTCAGAACTAATCATTTTCATGAGTCCAATTAAGGGCTTTCCCACATGTCTGTTCAAGTGATCATGTCTCCAACGCTGAAATGCTGCACCTGGGTCATCCGAATGATGGCAATCGACTTCAATCATCTCGTAGAGTACGCCTCCTGCGTATCCAAGGAACTCATCGCCAAGGTGGTCTCGTAATACGAGGAAGACCTAAATCACGTCAGAAAGCATTCTTTGTCGTTGTGCAGGCATCTGACAAGCCGGATTCCATCACGGTACTGGTAGTTGCGAGGTATGTGGGCGCAATATCTCACAAGAATGTTGCGGCATTCTGCGGGATCATTGTTAGTCAACGTTCCAAGTTCATCTCATACCTACACTGACTCTCTTCATCAAATATAATCAAGGACCGGTCTCTTGCGAGATAGGCAGAAAAGTGGGTGGTATCGCCCATTCCCATATCACTTGGTATTGAAGAACGGTTCGTTTAAGTCCGATTAGCAGCTTACAAGCTTCGCAAAGGGGTAATTCGCAAAATATATCGCGTTTCGACATTCAATATGTGAACTTTTCTATTTGTTGTGAGAATGAGGGCACAAAACAAAGGTATCATCAATCCAGCGAGAGGGACATCTTGGGCTTGTGCTTCCAGTGCAACGACGCTCGTGATACATATATCGCCTGGGCCATTGAAAGAATAGGTAGCGGCTTCCATTTTCAAATACTCGGCACAGGACAGGGAAGTTCAAAGACAGGGTTCCTTCTACATTAAACTCTAGGGTAGTTAGGTATATGAGTTGAAAATACCATTATGCCAAAACGGAAGGTACCTTCACGCTAAGGAAGGCAGCTATCTCAGGTTTAACCTCTTTACAATATGTGTAGGTACCTTGGGTGAAGCTTGAAAATGGTTCGGTGAGGCATGAAAGCAATTCTGTATCAAAGGTGGTGTCACGTAGGTCGCTGTGCTTTCCAGCAAAGAAACGATCAAGCCAATGAGACGATTCCTTCTTACGCACTCGCCCAATGAAGATTACCTATTGTCTAAAGAGAATCATCCACAATCAAATTTTCTAGTTCAACATGACGAGCGGAATTCCTTACACGCCGTAAATTGAGAACAGGATTAGGACCTTCACTTCTCCATTCAACATAACCCCAGTCAATTACTAACGCCAGACCGTTCATTGTCAGATAGGACTGGATCTTGGAGAAATGAGATCTCGGCCTCCTGCCCGGCATTTGAAGGACCCACTCCCGGGCGCTGCAGCACGACCTATTCCACGGGTGCAGTTAAGATATGTTAGGATCTAGCAGTATCCCATGGCCCAATACTTAACAGGCTCCATCGTTCCCCGGCGCCCCTGCAACCGAGACAAAAGCCGGGCCCGGTTGCGGCTTCCCGAAATCAACTCCCGATTTCCCAAATAGGCAGTCTCGATTCCCTGGTCTCCTCTTCGCCCCAGAAACCCCACACTCAAGACAGCTGGACCCATGACGACAAGTGATTATTTCGTCTCGCCAAACCACGAAGCGGATATTTTCCGTTGGCTAGAACATTTCGGCCAGAATCTCTATCTAAAAACAATGCGCCATAGAGCAGATATGCACTCCACATCCCGTACCGAAGTCTGATGCCGTCAATTCCCCTCGGGTCTGAGTCGCACCGGACTTCTGCTTACTACATGTCCGGCCAGACCCCCGGCATCTCTGGATATCATGCCTATCGCATTTAGCATATAATATGCGACCCCCCATCAACTCTGTCTTTTGTTTCCTCAGATTGATCACACCAGTAGATACCTAACTAACCAAACCACGCCCCTTCTTCTACACAATGTCTCAATCACAGTCCGATCGCTCCCCATACTATGACATCGGTGAGTAGTCTGGCGCTGTTGCCTGGACCAACCAATTGAATTCTAACATCACTAGTCATTGTTGGAGCTGGCCCGGTCGGCCTCATGCTCGCAACATGCCTTGCTCGCTGGGGTTACAAGATCAAGCATATCGATAACAGAGCTGAGCCTACCCCTACCGGTCGAGCCGATGGGATTCAACCACGCTCTCTGGACCTTCTTCGCAACATGGGTTTAAAGTCAGCAATCATGGCTCATCACCCAGCTCGCGTCTATGAAGTTGCGTTCTGGGATCCAGCTTCTTCAGGAAAGGGTATCGCCCGGACTGGAACATGGGCCAGCTGCCCTGATTTTATCGACGCTCGATACCCTTTCACAACCTTGTTGCACCAAGGTCTGATCGAGCGTGTTTTTATCTCCGACCTCGAGAAAAATGGAGCACAAGTCCAACGGCCATGGACAATCAAGGGTTTTACATCCGATGAGAAGTCCAACCCCGAATACCCTGTCACTGTCGAATTGGAGCATGTCGATGGTACTGCCCAGGAGACCATTCACGCCAAGTATCTGTTTGGTGGCGAGGGTGCAAGGTCATTTATCCGCAACCAGCTTGGCATTGCCGTTCACCACAAGGATCCCATCGCCCATGTTTGGGGTGTCATGGACGGTGTCGTGAAAACCGACTTCCCTGATATCAAGGTAAGCTGAGCTGCTCAAGCCCTATTTCATAGTTTACTAACGACGCTCAGATGAAATGTACCATCCATAGTGAGCACGGCTCCATTATGGTCATTCCGCGAGAGGACAACATGGTTCGTCTTTATATCCAGATTGCATCGTCTACAGATCCCGATTGGAACCCTAGACGAACAGCCACCGAGGAGCAAGTGCAAGAATCGGCAAAGAAGATCTTGCAGCCTTACTCTATTGAGTGGGAGCGCGTCGAGTGGTACTCTGTCTATCCTATCGGACAAGGCATTTCAGAACGATACACACTGGACCAGCGAGTCTTCCTTGGTGGAGATGCTTGCCATACACATAGTGTAAGTCCTCCCGTGCTCCAATTATCACCATGCGCTGACACACCCGTAGCCCAAGGCCGGTCAGGGAATGAACACAGCATTTCTTGATGCCCAGAACCTTGCTTGGAAGATCCACGCCGTTGAATCCGGTTTCGCCAGCAGGGAAGTCCTCAAGACATACGAAACGGAACGCAAGCATGTCGCTGAGTCTCTCCTCGATTTTGATAACCGATATGCGAAGCTTTTCTCTCAGCGACCACCCGCAGCTGCCGAGGTCCAAGCAGCGTCAGCCAACCATGGAAAGAACGATGTTCAAGATAACGAGTTCATCAATGCTTTCAAGGAGTCGTGCGAGTTTACCAGCGGTTACGGTGTTTACTACAAGCCAAATGTCTTCAACTGGTCACCAGAACACAATGCACAATCTCCACTGATTCACCCCAAGGGGACTAAGCTACGAACCGGCCGCCTTTTTATCAACTCGAATGTAACGAGAGTAGTTGACGCCAACGTTGTGCATTTGGAGCAGGAAGTACCTTTAAACGGCGCGTTCCGATTGTTTGTTTTTGCAGGTGTCCCATCAAAGACCCGCCAGGCTTTGAAAGATTTCGCCAATCATCTCGGTAGCCAGCGGTCATTCTACGCAGCTTATCAGCGGCCCGATCTCGACAAGGTATCATACCATGAGAAGCACCTCCCACACAGCCGATTCTTTACTATCTCCACGATTTTTTCGTCCAAGAGACCTGAAATCGAAATCTCTCGCGATGTGCCTGGAGTGCTTGCCCGATATAGGGACCATGTTTACGCTGATGACCGGTCCGATGCACGATTCCCTCGGGCGAAGGCTGTAGCCCATGCCAAAATGGGTCTTGATGAAGAGCTTGGTGGAGTG